AATACGATATGATATAATACGCTATAATACAATGCGTTATATAATACAATACGATATGATATAATACGCTATAATACAATGCGTTATAATATAATACAATACGATATGATATAATACGCTATAATACAATGCGTTATAATATAATACAATACGATATGATATGTTATAATATAATGTGACATAATATGATACAGTGTGTCACAGTGTGTCACAGTGTGACACAATATGATATTATAAATAACCAGGAAGAAGAATTAAGGAGGTAAAGAGACGTAATCAGAAATAGGGACCCGCTGCGTTCCGCGAGCTGCAGAAAACCGAGGGGACACCTCCAAAGCAGATTTGCTTCATGCTTTTTCTTCGTTCGTTTGTTTGTTTTCAAAGGTCCTGGAGATCACCCGCCTGGAGCTGGAATTAGGCAAAGACTACACACTGCAGTGGAGCTGAAAAACCTGCCAACAGCGCTGGCCGCCGCCGAGCTGAACCCTCTCCCCTTCACAAATTGGTTTTTCCCTTCTCCTTCTGCCTCTTTGACTCCTTAAAACACTTCGCGCTATAGAGGAGCGCAGTTTGTATTAAGTTACGCCGTGCAGAAAGGAGTCGTGGTTTCGCGTTCACGCCGGGTAACTACGCGCTGTCCCCGTAAATCCGAATTCATCGGGTTTTTTGGGTTTTGGTGTTTGTTTTGTTTTTTTTTTTTCAAACCTTACAGCACTTTGAGATCACTTGGTCTTTCAAAATGAGGAGATTTCCCGAAGGCACAGTTCTGGCCGACATCCCGCTCACGGCACTTCAGAAAAATATTGGCGTGAGCTGTGTGGGTGTGTGGGGCAATAAACCTGCCCACGTTTAGGTTCCATCTTCCTTTACGTCGCGATTACACAGAAGTACTTAAGGGCACTCACCGTGGATTGTTTTAAAATGAAAAGATGCCGCGGTTGCTGTTGATCTATAAAATACTAAAGCACTCGCAAAAATCCTTGGAAGTTTTGGGTTTTTTTTTTTTTGTATGACCTTAAACGGGCACTGGAGTTCTCCGATGTTTGGATCTGAGGTGGTGTAAAATCAAACGACATCTCAATGCGAACTTAAAACAAACCAAAAAAAAAAAAGTATTGAGTTTTTATTGAGTTTTATTTCATGGAAGGAAATGTCGTTGGAAGCTTACTGGGATCGCGGTTCACGTTAAAGGCTTTTTGGATCTCGGAAGTGCGACGTGTGGCATAAACCGATTGATTAAAGAGCATTTCCAATTAAATTTCTTGGGATTAAGTGTTTGTCGGAGAGTGGTCAAACACTGGGAGAGACTTCCTAAAGAGGCGGTCGATGCCCCAAGCCGGTCAGCGTTTAAGGGTCATTTGGACGGTGCCCTTAAGAACGTGCTTGAACTTTTGGTCAACCCCTTTGACTAGGTGCTCGTTGTAGGTCCCTTTCAACTGAAAAATGTCCTGTCCTGTCCTATCCTACTTTATCCCATTCCCCTGCCATGTGCAGGTGCTTCTGATCTCGCACATGGCTCAGCAGCTGACAGGACAGGAGCAGGTACCTGCCATGTTTGGATGGATGGATGGATGGATGGACGGATGGACGGACAAATGGATGGACGGATGGATGAATTGGAAGGTTGGGGTGATTGGACAAAACTCGCAGCTCTTGTCACAGAATTCACAGAATGGTGAGGGTTGGAAGGGACCTTTGGAGATCATCTAGTCCAACCCCCCTGCCAGAGCAGGGTCACCTACAGCACGTTACACAGGACAGCGTCCAGGCGGGTTTTGAATGTCTCCCGAGTGGGAGGCTCCACCACCTCTCTGGGCAGCCTGTTCCAGTGCTCCACTACCCTCAAAGTAAAGAAGTTCCTTCTCATGTTAAGATGGAACTTCCTATGTTCAAGTTTATGCCCATTACCCCTCGTCCTATCACTGGGTGCCACTGAAAAAAGACTACTCCCATCCCCCTGGCACCCTCCCATTAAGTATTTGTATGTATTAATAAGATCCCCCCTCAATCTTCTTTTCTCTAGACTAAAGAGACCCAAGTCCCTCAGCCTTTCCTCAGAAGAAAGGTGCTCCAGTCCCCTAATCATCTTTGTTGCCCTTTGCTGGACCCTCTCCAGCAGTTCCCTGTCTTTCTGGACCCGGGGAGCCCAGAACTGGACACAGTACTCCAGATGCGGTCTCACCAGGGCAGAGTAGAGGGGGAAGATGACCTCCCTCGACCTGCTGGCCACACTCTTCTTGATGCACCCCAGGATGCCATTCGCCTTCTTGGCCGCCAGGGCACATTGCTGGCTCATGGTCATCCTGTTGTCCACCCAGGTCCCTCTCCACAGAGCTGCTCTCCAGGAGGTCAGCCCCCAACCTGTACTGGTGCATGGTGCTGGACCTGGTCACTCCAGGTCCAGCCCGCTCCTAAATTTCAAACCCTGGCAAGATGCTAAAAAGAGTGTCTTTATGCCTCTTCGTCTCCTGTGTGCACCAGGAGTGCCCTGTTGGGTCACTCCATGGGACACGACGAAAGAGAGGAGGAAGCAAAACGTTCCCACACCCTGGACAGCTTCGTCATAAAAACTGAAGTGTCTTTTCAAGGTTTTCTGCCCCAATTTGGTACTTTAGGAAAACAGCAAAGGGTGAGGGTGGTGGGAAAAGGCAAAGGCTGAAGGGTTTTAGCCATCGCTGGCTGGTGTTCTTCTGCAGCCGTCGTTGGGAAAACACAGAGTTTGGTCTCTACCTGCCCCAGCTTCTAACCCTAGAAAAACACCACCTTCCCACAGAGGAGGAGAGACACCTTGGACGATGTGGAATTCAGCCCCGTCGGGCAGGTCTGATTTACGCCACGTCCGTCCAGGGAGGAGATGATGAAGTGCTCTTGTGCTGGGGTGGGCCGTCTACTCTCCTTTGGCAGCAGATGCTGAACGAAGGGGTCTGACCCCCACGGTGGTTTGCCACCTAAATGTGACCCCCTTGTCACACCCCTCCTGCCCGTGGTTCTCTCCCCAAGACATCAAGCCCTCTACAGGTGCAAGGCAGAAGGTATGACCTGTGCAGACACGATATGTATTCGTTGGACGTGGACAACCAACACAGGCAAGCCAGAGGAGCAAGGGACGGATCTGCGCACGTGTCCTCCTCCCCAAACCGGTCTCCTTCAGTCGGACTTCCCAGTCCAGAGATTAAAGCCCCAGAGGCGGCTGAATTTCAGATACAAACAAGAACAAGGTGTAACGGGAACATGGTGGGATGAGGGGCGAGACGGAGCAGGGGCACACGGGCGCAAACAGGCGCACGCCTTTTGGGCAGGAGCGTGGAAATACGCATCTTTCCACGAAACCCACAAAAACCCAGACACAACATCCAGCTTTATTCAGGTGGACCCAAGGCAGGCGGGGTCTGCGCAGAAGAAAGGAGCAGGGAAAACAATGCCGGTTGACGATGCACCACTTCTGCCTCCTGCGGACCCCGAGGCAGACGTGGAGGGAACAGGAGTGGCCCGAGGGAGTGGATTGCCTTAGCTAAATGGAGCAAAACCTTCAAGGGGATTTTTCTCCTCATTCGTCTCGTTAGTCCTCCCGGAATCCCTCTTCCAGATCTGCAAAGAAGGGAAGGAGCAGCATCAGAAACGGTGTCTTTTCGGTCTTTGCCCTCTAAGGGAGATAAATTTGGGGGTGAAAGGAGGGAGGAGAGCGAAGAGCAATCACGTTCAAATTCTCTGTCCAGTACGACCTCCCAAAACACCTTTGAACAAAGTGTTTGTTTGTTTCCTTTATTCTTTGGAAAAGAAAGTGGAATAACAGTCAAACTGGGTCATCTTCTGAGAATCAATGAAAGCAAAACATTTACCTCTTCTCTTCATCAGGCGGTGGGAGAAGAAAAAGATGAGGCCATTGATGGTAAAGAAGGAACCTCCAACGACGATCTCCCGAATCCAGCTCATTTTACGGCCTGGGAAAGAATCAACGGCGACTTTACCATGATGCGACCTTCCCCCGTGACGGAGATGATGACTCCTACCGTGACCAAGCCCATCAATAGCAAACCCCATCTTAGAGGGAAGGAGGTGAATTTCCCTCCAGCTCTGCAAAGCCCCTTTATGGTAATCTTGGGGATGGGCCCGGGAGTCAATGGATGTCCAGATTGTGACAAAATATCAGCTAGCAGACGGGATGGGTCTACAAATAAGATAGTAAGCTGTGTTGGCCACCCTACCATATACTCCAAATCAGCTGTAGTGGTCCCTGGGAGATGGTTAGATAACTTAGCTCTTGGGAAGCTATGGTGCATATCCACCCAGGAGAACCACGGATCATTGTAGAAAGTTGTGGTCTCATCAGAAAAGCCGGAGAAGGTAATAAAACCATCTTTTCATTGAGATTTTTTTTTTTTTTTCTCCAGTATCTGCCCTTATTTTTGTCCACAAAGGCAATGAGCTCATTTGGTGATGGACAGAGAGACTGAGCCAGAGAGATGGATGGTCATAGGACAGGAAGGGATGGGTGGATTCATAGGCAAGCACACAGGGAAGGAACTAATGATGAGCCGGTAGTTACTCGATGCTCTAGTGATGAAGGGTTTGAAAACTCACTTTTCACGGTGACATTGACCCAGCGGCTCTTTTCCGAGCGAACAGGACGTCTAGACTGAATGACGAAATAAGCACAACTGTAGGACCCGGAGGGCTCCTCTCCTGTGAAGCTGATGTCATAGCTGTAGTTCCTCACGTTTGATACGGGGATGGAGACTGTAACTCCAAAGTCCGCATAGTACTGGACTTCTCGAACGTAGGCTGGAAATGAGGGGATGGAGCAGAGTAGCTTGACATAGTCCCCATATCTATAGACCTCTTGCTGAGGATCCAGGGTTAAAGTTGGGGCAATTGGAGCAGCTGGTAAAAAAAAAAAAACCAAAAAAAACCACAAACGACACATAACCCAACCAATCATCCATCTATCGACATCAGGACCTGTGCGCGATACCCATGATTTTTCCCAATGTCACGCCTCAGCCTCGACAAAGGGACTAGAAAAGAAGTTAATTATTCTTCTGACTATTACTGGGGTAAATACAGACCCTTGAACTGCAGAACAGCTTTGGGGTGGGGGGGACGACGACTGGTGGCTCTCTTTTCTATCCCCTTCATGAACCACGGGCAGAAGGAAAAAAAAAAAAGACCCTACGATTCTCAGATATAAGAATTCAAAGCAGCTCGAGCAGCTCCTTCACCGAAGTGCAGAAAAGAAGTATCTTCACATGCCCAAAATAAGCCAAACCCTAACGAAAAGCTTGGGGAGGCTCGCTGCCGTAAGACCTCTTGGAGGTGACCCAGCCGTTAGGCCAACTTATTCCCGCTTTCTCTGAGAAATCCAGGAGACCCAAAAGGAGCTTGCGAGAAGCCAGAGCCACTTCAATCCGTCCATCGGCAACCAAATGCTAGGGCCGTTGGACAAGATC